GAAAAGGCACGAAGCGAGGGCTCCATATGTGCACAAGCGTGTCGACACTGAACTCATGAGGTATCCTGCTCTCGATATTATTGTTGCGATGCCTAGCTGCTGCCACCAAATGGGAACAAAGAAAGTGGTACTACCTTGGTTTACCACAAGTGCATTTGAAATCTTGGAAGACAACTACATGCATCCTCGACTCTCGGACCTCGCCGTCGGACGTTGTACCGCCCCTATGCTCGACCTGATAAGTCCCTGTGGCGCGATCAAAGCATGTAACCTCATGTGTGCCAGCCCTTTCATTTGCCTTCTCTAGGTGTGCCTTCGGTTTTGGAGCCCATATCTCTCCATCACTCCGTAACTTCAATGCATGAGCGTGTCTATCGTTGAACCAAGCAACAAGCTTATAGAAGGTGAACTAAACGATTGCATTCATGGGCATACCACGTATCCCCAATAGCAACTTATTGAATGACTCCGCCATGTTGCTGCACTGAAACTCGTACCTCCATCCACCAGCGTCGTGAGCTCTCGTCCATTTCTTCAAATCCCTCATCAAATCTGTGAGCCATTGTCTACCTTCTGCATTTGATGCGGTTCTGACCTGCTCCAACTTTTTCTGAAAAGTACTTGTCCTCAAACTGTCGAGCAGCCTCCTGGAACAGATCAAAGTTACCCTTCACACCATCCTTCCGGAGTAGATTCTCGGCAAGGTGTCGAGTACACCAACGATGATGCAAAGGTGCATACCCCTCTATCTGCTCTCGCACGTCATTAAGTATGCCCTGGTGCCTATCAGATATGACGCCAACCTCCCTGCCAGGGCCAACCACGTGTATTTGGACTAGCCTCAAGAACCATTCCCAACCGTCATTGTTCTCCTTCTCAACCAAAGCAAATGCCAAAGGAACCAACTTGTTGTTCGCGTCACAGGATATGGCTATAAGAAGTGTGCCCTGATATTTACCAATCAAGAACGTACCATCAATGGAGAAGATGGGACGACAGTGCCTAAAGGCCTCGACACACTGAGGGAAGCACCAGAAAGCACGGAAGAATATCTGTCTCCCATCCTTCCATGCATTTAGTTTTGGGATGTACTCATAATGCATGCCTAGATTCACCGCTTTGATTGCATTGAAAAGTACTGACAGCTGCTCGTACCCATCCTCCCAGTCCCCATATATCATCTTCCACGCTCGCTGCTTAGCCCTCCATGCTTTACCATAAGTTATCACATAACCTCCATACAACGCCTCAACGGTCCTGATATATAATTGTCCTCATCTTCATGTTGGGTTCTTCCTGCAATATTCCCATCAACCGCTTGGCAATGAGGGTAGATGTCAACTGCCGATGCCTCAGTGTCAGCTCATGGCTAGCACAATTGTGTGGCCCAACAACTTTTGTGATCTTCCACTTTTCGGTGACTGTTTGCTTCCTTGCACAAACTCTCCATGGGCAGCGTTCCTTGTCACATACGACTGTGTAACGGCGCTCCGTATATGAATGCAAGACCTTGTAAGATCTCTTTCGTATCACTACAAACGCCTGCAACCACCTCTTCAATGCAGGGAGATCATTGAACACCCTCCCATTCTCAATTACCATGTTAGGGCCGGCCTCAGGAGCTTCTAAGAGCTCATCATCATGTCTTTCTGCACACGCCTGATCAGAATGAGCAAGATCACTGAACTCATGAACTCTTGGATCACGACAGCCGGGAAAGATACGCCTCAGCATCTCAACATCACTCTCTGTCAGCTCTCCAACAGGGCGATCATCATCAGAATCAAGAGCCCTTGCCATCTCATATGGCTCCGAATCAAGCATAATTTTAACACTATTGGAGCCACGGAATCCATCTCCAAAGTGCACTTGCGCAGCAACAGGGGGCACATCCACATTCTCAGGAATGTCTCCTGCAACATAAGTAGAGAAATAAGGAAAGAATGAAAGAAATGGATGTAAGAAAGGGGATAAGCTCCCAATAAGCATGCGGTTAAGACACTTACTCGGATGATTCTGTGTCAAAGGGATCTCATGAGGAGGATCTGCCACAGCAACATGAGTCTGACAAGCATCTCCAACTACCGCATTGGGGGCAGATTGAGCATCGAGAACCGTACGTGCAACCTCCACATCCATATCAGATTCCGGGGTGGGAGGGTCGATGTGTGTCTGTTGACCCATTGGTGGGGAAACCCCACGAGGGATGGGATCAACTAACACCCGACGCACAACCACGTCTAAACATTGCAGCTGGCTCTTCATAGCCAATCTCACATAGTTCTCCCACTGATCCACACAACCAATTGTGATCATTCGCTTGAGGATGTTGGAAGGAGAACTTAGGTGTAGTACACCATCAACTGCAATGCCATCATCTCCAAGGTAATGCAGCTCCTCCCGAGTCCATGCAAGCATCTCACTAAATGAAGGCCTATCATTGAATAGCACAGGCACGCTTTGCATGTCAACAAACTCAACATATCCATAGCGATCGTATTCAACGGTGCCTCCATGATATATGGTCACTAGATTGTCCATCTAATTCAAACACATAACAAAACACATGTCCTTTAGTCCAAATTAGACGATAGATAGTACCTAACAAGTACTTTCTAACTACAAACTAAGTAAATAAGATAACAACTACATACATAGATACAGTGTACTAACTAAATAGCTATGTCCTATTTAGTTAACTAAATATGTAACTACCTATCTAAGTAGCTATCTAACTATATCTATGTACATATGTATCTATGTTTCTATCTATCTACATATATATCTCACTAGATCACTAACTAAATCAACTACCTAAGTCATCACATTAACTAGTAAATAACAAATGCCAACTAAGTCGGTATATTGCATATTCACAATTTTTACCTTTGCAACGACTGATCCGCGGACGTCGACGGAGTCACAGCGGACGCCGGACGTGGATCAGGCCGACGAGCCGGGCCAGCGGTGGCACGGCCGGCCGTTGCAGGTGTCGGGGCCGACGGTGGCGCGTGACGGGCGCGGGTGGCACGGTGGGAGCCCAGCACGGGCAGCCAATTAGGCGAGGCCGGGCGCGGGCGGCACGACACGGCACGGCGGGCGCGACGTGGCCACGGCACGGTCACTGCACAGCGGGCACGGCGCGGCCGAGGAAGCGGGGAAGGGCAGCCGGCGCGGGCGCGGGGCGGAAACGGCGGCCGGCGCGGGCTCCGGGCGCGGCGCGGCCGCAGAGGCGGCGTGGCGCGGGCGGGCGGTGGCGGGCTCCGGCGTGCGCCGGCGAGGGCGAGGGCGAGGCCGCGCGGGCTCGGGCAGCCGGTGGCGGGCTCCGGGCGGGCGGCGGCGGTGCTCTGCTCGGCTCAGGCGAGGGGGATACGCGAGAGAGAGGGGGGAGGAAGAGAGAAAGGATTAGGGCCCATACGTAATAAAGGCTCGGCGCCAGTCCCCGAGCTCGGCGCCGAGCTCCCTGCCATGTCATCTCCACGTGGGTCTCGAGCCCAAGAGCTCGGCACCAGGGACGCTGGCGCCGAGACGTGTTAGCTCGGCGCCACTGAGAGTCCAGATGTATTTGTGAAAAACTTAAATAAAAAAGGCTAAAAATAAAAAAATTCGGGATCAGTGGAGGCCGTCGGATCATCTGGTTATGTCTGTGTCTGTCAGCTTTTTCAATAGCGAGCAGTCTCTTCATCTTCTATACAAGTATACTATCCCTGGTTCACCTGGAGTTACATCTACATCGTTGTCTCCGGTGCATCGACGATCATTCTGCGCCTCTTGCATGCCACCTGTATGCACGTGCTCTTTGACTCTTTGCCAAGCTATACGAGTTCTCCGTCGCTGACATCGAGTGCTACTACATACTGACATCGTCCCTCGTGTTTGGACCGCTGCCTTCGAGCAGGCGTGTCCGCACGGACCGCTCGCCTTCGGGAAGGAGCGTCCGCTTGCATTGCTTATTCTTTCTCAAGCACATCTCTTTTCTCCACCTACTATGTCTACTCCTGCATCGGCACCTTCTACCCCCGCTGTTCTGTGCACCATCAAGGCCTTCTCTACTGGTCCTTAGACGTTGACATATGACTGGGCCTTCTACCTAGTACGTCTCATATTGAGAACACTGGTGCATGACTGGGTTTGATATAAGACAAATCTTTTTAAGTTTGACCATGTCTGTAAAAACAACTTTAACATTTATGTCTATAAATATGTTTACTATAAAAATACCAACCTCTCTTTCAAATTACTTGTCACTTTCAACCACTTTTATAGATTCTCTAAATACTTGATACTATGAGCTTACCAATATCTCATTTTCAGTTATAAATATAATGATGCTTATTCGATATTATCTTAAATGTTAGTATTTTATATAGGTTTTGTTAAATTTAAATTTGTTTGACTTCTTTGAATTGTATTTCTTTATGGAGAAAGTAGTATTTTTTATATATATTGGGATGTTTGACTCGTTATTAGAAGCGAAATTTCTTTTTTTTTTTTTAAAAAAACAGAAATGGCGGAATCAGCCTCGCAGGTCGCAGCCGGGTCGCCGGAGGCTCCGACCCGAAGCAGGCATTCCCTTTCCCTGACAAGATGGGATTCCGCTTCGCCCGCCTCGCCGCCCGAGCCGCGGCCTCTCGCTGGGGCATGATCCCAGCAGCCTCCGCCCGCCGCGCGCTCGCCCCACCCGCCTTGCCGGCGGAGCCACGCTTCGGGCCCCACTAGCTCGTCCCCGCCCGCGGCTACGTGGGCCACTCGCACCACCACGGCGGGGAGGACGAGGCCGAGACGTCCGATAGGATCTTCCGGCTGGGACTCGCCGCTGACGTCGTACTCACCGTGGGGAAGGCCGTCATAGGCTATCTCTCCGGCAGCACCGCCATCGCTGCCGACGCCGCCCACTCCCTCTCGGACATAGTATGTGTGTGAAAATGAGGTGCCCCGTGTGCATGATGCTGTATGTTTCGTGGAGGTTTGCTAATTGTGCGGGTTTTGGGATTGCACAGGTGCTTAGCGGGGTGGCTCTGCTGTCGTACAGGGCGGCCAAGGCTCCCAGAGACAAGGAACATCCCTATGGTTAGTCTCAAAATCTCTTCCTGCTCCGTTCCTCATATATATGCGGCTTAGCTGGCTATATCAGGGTGGTAGTTTTGATTAAGGTAGATGTGATGGGTTGTTGTGAGAAGCATTGTGTCAAGGGCCTCAACTCCTAACAATGGAAGCCCCTGGCTGCGCAGATTATAGTTGGAGGTAGGAGATGGGGGCGCCAGGATATGGCTGGCGCCCACAGCAGGGAGGTGAGATTAGAGATAGCAGGGAGATGAGATTAGGGATAAATCACTTCATTCCTTTCCTCAACTGAAAGCAGGGATTACATATATATAGGACTGCTGGCGCCCAGCTCCTAGTTCCTGGTGCCAGCTAATAACTATCAGCCAGCTACTACTCCTTGATCCCCCACACAACTCTCTTAATTGATCTTAATAACTAAGGCCCCTTGGGCGCCTAGACCTCCTTGGGTTCCTCCTGGTCAATCATGCTCTTGGGGGCCGCACTGGTTGCACCTCGTGCTCGAGGTCTGCGCTGATAATGGCGGCCCCACATAACACATTGATTCACCGATAGATGTAGTCTCGTGATCCATTCTTGTCTGGCTGGCAAGATTGCAGAACGACCCACACCTTGATTTTACAAGATATCAGGTTTTACATTTGATTCAACATGACAGGTCCCCTTCATGTTTGTGCGTGTGCATTTATACATGATTATGTGTATATGCTGTTCTAGTGATACTACCTTTCCAAATGGTGCGATGGAACTGTTTAGCAAAACAATCCTTAAGGCTTAGCAACAGATCATGAGACCAAATCCTGGAAATTCGTGTGTAAGGGCCTGTTTGGATACAAGAGCTAATTGCTAGATAGCTAAAAATTAGCTTTATTGTATCCAAACAAGAGAGCTAATAGGTGGGCAAATTTTTTAGCCAAGTCTTCAATTAGTTGTTAACCAAATAGCTAGCCAACCATAGCTAATTTGGACTAATTTTTAGCCCCAACTAGTAACTAGCCATGTGTATCCAAACAGGTCCTAAATCACACTTGCACTTAGTGTGAACCCTGGTAGGCGATAGCTAGAAGATATGTTTGACATACCATTGTGACAAGCTATTAGTGTCCCTCTGTTGTAATTGGAACTAGACGAGCCATTTTCCAAGTTTAATTATTTGACTTCTATGCACACATCCATAAGATATTGGAAGTCGCATTTCTTACTTTCCTTTTGTTCAAGGGCATGGAAAGTTCGAAGGTTTAGGAGCTCTTGGGATTTCAAGTATGCTGTTGGTTACTTCAGGTGGGATTGCATGGCATGCTTTTGAAGTTCTTCAGGTTTATTACTTCTCATTGACAAGATTTGTTAAAACTTGAATTGTATTTTTGTTTGTGATGTGACATAAGCTATGCCCTCTTAATTTCCTTGCAATGCTTGTTATTTTATTAAAATTGTGAAAATGGATAAGTCTTCTTTTGTTTGTTCATAAGGAGGCTTGTACATTGTAAATAAAAGAGGATGTTATGATATTACTTGCACAATCTGAGACCTCTTTGTACATGTCACTGAAGAATTAAAGTAACAACCACGAAAATGAATTTCACTCAAAAGTTTTTCCTTGGTACATTATTTTCTGTTGAAAAGCCAAGTTTTGCATGCTCTACTGATGCAATAATAGTGTGTGTGTGTGTGTGATATTTATTGTTTGTTGGTACTTTTTCTTGTTCTGACATTGATGAATTATATTGGTATTTGGTAATACATGATTCGGTATGGAATTTATATTTTATGTTTCTTCAGGGAGTTATGTCTTCTGCTCCTGATATAATTGGCAACACATTGCATGCCCACCACGACCATGGTAGCAGTGGGCATCATCATGGAATAGATTTGGAACATCCAGTTCTTGCATTGAGCATGACAACTTTAGCATTATCTATCAAAGAAGGGTAAGTGGGAGCTTTGCGTACCATGATATTGTTATGTTATAGAGCTCTTTTCTTCTATCATATTTCATTTTGCAGTCAGAACTCAGAACCTATGTATCACCGCTACGGGATACGGCAATAGGGGGAATGGGTATGGCGAGCATTTTTCCAAAATCAAGGATACACATACACAAATTCATCGAATATATAAAAAAATATAATTAAAATAACAGCATTGGCATGTCTTCAGAGAGAGGATTTAAAGGATCGAAGCAATTTCAAGTTTTCAACAAAACATATGAAGGAAGAAGATCTAAAGAACAAGTAGGCAAGGAACTGACATGTCACCATAGCTAGAGTATTTTGACCTCTGGACCTCCAGCAGTAGTGCCGTGCAGGCCCTGTAGTCCAAAAAAGTCCCGATGGGGAAGAGTTTCAATTCTAGTCTGCCTGGCGGCATGTGCTCCCAGCAAGGCAGGGCGTATCGCGCCATATTGACTGGTGTTCGTGAGCTGAACCATTCAATTTTTTATCCCATTTTCCCAATACCTACCGATACACATATCGGGCCGTATCAGATACAGGTATGGTAGCCTTCCTGGTGTATTGGTGATACATAGGTCAGAAGTGTCATTACTAACTTCTTTTCTTACACACCAATTGAATTAATGTTTGTCATATGGTTCTGTTTTTATCGAATTGCTAACATTATGTAGTATATGTCCTGGAGTTTGTTGCAAGAAGCGTTGTTAACTTCATTCAAAGAATATGTAGCTTAAAACTTTCTTTTCTGTATGAATACGTAGCAGCTTTAAGGAACAGTGATTTAACTGTCACCCACATTTTATTTTAATCTTTTTAGCTCTATACATTAAGTTTATAGATCATGTGTATGGCTAATTCTCACGTGATTAATCTAGTAATAAGATCTTGAGCTGGTAATATGTATTTTACTGTTGTGGAATTACAGGCTCTACTGGATCACAAAAAGAGCTGGGGAAAAGGAAGGCAGTGGGCTGATGAAAGCTAATGCATGGCACCATCGTGCAGATGCTATTTCATCTGTCGTTGCCCTAGTAGGGGTAGGTAAGAGCTTTACAAATGCTGGTACTTGCCATGTCACAAGAAGGGAACTGCTTTAGAATATGAGTGGTAGGCATCCTCTTGTCATGAATCAAGGAAGAAATAATGTTTCTGTGCCAAGCGCAATCGTTGAAACAGGATGTTCCTATATTTTATTAGATTTCCATGTGCATCTTCTGATAGTGCATTCTTTCTCTACTTGTTACGAAAAAGTTTTTGTTTGTAGATTTGACCTGAAAATGTTAGGAGCTTATTACATTATCTACTGGTGAGAAAGGTTATGCTAAAGGAGAAACCTGTCTTTTTATTATCTTTATCATTTTCTGTGGAACTTCTACAGGTGGTTCCATTCTTGGGTTGCCTCTTCTTGATCTACTAGCTGGACTTGTTGTCTCTGGCATGATTCTGAAAGCTGGTATTCAGACTGGATATGAGAGGTAACTATTGCTATGGTTTAAAGCTGCTTCAGTTCCATCACAATTTAATGATACTGTAGTCTAATCAAATATGTTTCTATCCTCTTCTTTAGGAATCTTTTCTGTTTTGTGAAAATCTGCTTGCTTTCCTAGTGAGCAAACTTTTCAGATATTTCACTGCAATCTGATTACATCTGTTTGCTTGTATTAAGTGATTTGTCTTCTGTACTTCCAGAAATATTATTGTCAATGTGTTGCTTTCTGTAGCCCTACGGCTGAATATTCATGAAATAAAAGATGACATATGCTCATTTTCTGTGTGCCTGCTCTGCTAGGATCATTGTTTTTCAGTCTTGTTCAGCTGATATCACTTTTGAACCCAATAACCATAAACCTTTCAAATTTAAACAAATTATCCTTTTATACAATTTAATACACATGATGATTCACCTTTGTAGTTTGCATGATGTTACTTGTGGTGATGATTCTGCTTGTTTCAGCCAAAGGGCGCCTAGCTCAAACGGTTAGGTGACCCAGCGGCACTCCTCAGGTCCTGGGTTCGACTCCCCGTGGGAGCAAATTTCAGGCTGAGGTTAAAAAAATCCCCTCGTCCGTCCCCATAACCAAAGCACTGGGGGGGCACCGGCCCAATTCTCACTTGGGCGACGGAAAGCCACCGTGTAAGGGTGGGGGCGGGGGTTCGGGGGTTTTCTCGGCCGGGTGAGAAGGTCCTTCTTATTTGTAATGTTGCGGGGGCAGTCTTAACCCCCCGGTCGAGTTTTTTTATTCTGCTTGTTTCACTTGCAGTGTAATGGAATTAGTTGATGCTGCTGTGGATCCTTCACTTCTAGAACCAATCAAGGAAACTATTTTGAGGGTTCACGGTGTGAAGGTAGAATTTCAATGACTCCCTAAAATTCAGTTTCTTCTTAGCCAGTTCTAAATGTGCAGTGCTGTGATTATCAAAGTTTTGGACATAATGCTAGGGGTGCCATCGATTGAGGGGAAGAAAAGCTGGGACATCATTATATCTTGATGTACATATAGAGGTATGCAACAATGTGCTTTCATTTATTTATTTTTGCTGTAGAACTGTGGAAGTTAGCAACGGGCCAGCTAGGTCGCAATACTAGAAGCAGAAAAATGTTGGAATTATTGTCTAAGTTTATTCCTATATTTTCCTTATCGTGTAGGTGTATCCTTTTCTGAGTGTTAGCGCAGCACATGATATCGGTGAAACTGTTCGTCATCAAATTCAAAAGGAGCACAATCAAGTTGCTGAAGTTTTCATACACATAGGTAGCCTGCTCTAACTAAGTTGCTCTCAACACTGTGCCTACCATCTGTAACCATGCACAGAAATATTGCATTTAAGGATTTAATATTTTCCTAGCATGCATCATAGGCGCACCTTCCAAAAAATTGACATTTCAAAAGTTATGTTTTAACGTAATGTATTTGACTGGAAGTTTTCAATTCTTTTTTGAAATGCATTTCATTGCATCTGAAATAAACAATTTCTGGGTTAAGCTACACTGTATGTATGATTGTTCTTTGTCATTTAATTTGCTCCTTATATTCAGTGCTACTGCTCTCGAAATCAAGCAGTAATATCCCTTACAGTTATATACAGCTGTGTTAAACCTGCAGCTGCAGTGCTTCTAAAGTGCATGATTGCATGAATTGCAGATCCCTCATACTCAGTAGGCCTGAGCATGGACCTGAAAAGGAATCTGAAGAACTGATGGAACGAATTCAGAAGCTATCCCACGGCAACAGAGTGCAGAAGCCATTGTGTCTAATATTATTTCGTCTCATTTTTCGAAGGTAAACCATTGACTTCTAAATTGTTTTCACTATCACCAACTGCAGTATTAAGGAGTAAATGTTGTTGAAGATCATAGGGATGCAAAAGCTGCGAAAATTTGGTGCAATGATCTTACAATGTTTTAACATGTATGATATTCTGGAAAATGTCTAACCTATAGGATCTAGCTACGAAATGACTTTACATGGACTCTTGGTGAGGGCAATTGCTCTTTAAATTATCAGGGCTTACTATTTTGTGCTTAATCCTAGTAATTCAGACCGAAATCCATTTATCCAAGCAGGCCCTTAGGAGTTAGTTTTGTCCCCAAGGATGGCAAATTGTGTGTACAATTCAACCATTATTTGATGCAGAAAATGGCGCTTGAACATCTAATGCTGCATTACGTGCAAGGAAGAGTGTTGCTCCAGGTCCAAGTTTCAATGTCTCCAGAAATTTTGATTCGGTAATTGACCCTACCTATCCAAACACAAGTTGAAACAAGGATTCTAACGGGTCTCTGTCTCCCCTTTACTCAACTTGAAGGGATGCAATGGAAGTCGCAAAGCAAGCCGAAGAGGAGATACTGAGGGCTGATGCTAGCATAAGCCAAGTCAGCTTACAGCTAAGATTGGGCCAACAAATAAAGCAACTTCAGCTAGCATCAAGCAAGAACGTCGCTGGTCTACATGCAGGAGATCACTGATGTCACGTCCTTTTGCTGGCTGCTTCATGAGTCTACTTGGAGTATTCCTTTCGCTAATTTTTCTGACATACATGAGCTTCATTTGCTGCTGAGGCAGTAGGCTAGGAGTCTAGGAACCGACTGCGTTCATTGTAATCAGAGTGTTCGGAGATGTGAGCTGAGTTTGTAATAATGCACAGAAGCAGCCTTGCTCAGAAATGTGTACTGGGTAACAAATTGGCTGTGTCACATACTATCAATGCAAACCGTATGAACAAGTTCCTCGCTGGCTCCGGTATAATAACCATGAACCACTTGCTACTGATGGAAAACAAAATGAATATTAACATTTCTTTCATTCCATGAAAGAAAAATAAGAAATGTTAATTCGCTGACATGTGTCATCAGATGGTCAGTAAAGGTACTGCAAAATGAGCAAGAATCAGTGGACGCAAAGGTGAAAAGGCTTTCCTTTCTTATAGAGCTGTGCCCCCTCCAAATTCAACAATAGCCGAATCAAGCTCATTTAGAAGGATCACACTTCTGTTTGATCCTACAACCAGTATTGTACTTGCCCATACGAAGTATTTCTTCTATAACAAACATAAACCCATTAGAATGTCATTATGGTTTTCAATAGGACATTTTATTAGTACTGTCTACGAAATGATATCACAGAGTACTATATTATGAAACTTTGTATAAAAACAGTGTAGCCATACACACAAAGCAAAATGGCCTTGCTTGTGACACTCGGTGCAATATCTTCACTTTGGCCCTTGTTACTTATTTGGAGGTGCTTGCACTTTAACCTTATTCCGCAGAAAGCTAATATCACTTGGCCGTAACTTCATGGTAGTTTTGACAAGATTTTACTTTGAATTTCATAACCTCTAGCTAGGTTCTTGCAGCCGGTAGCAAAACTATCCACTTCAAGCTTGAGTTTCTCATTATCCCATTTGAGGCAAGCAATCTTTCTTTTCGGCATATCATTTTCAATGGCTAACTCATCGCTACGAGTTTCAACAATCACATCCTTATCTTTTGATATGTTCTCATGAGATAAAAAGTAAGGGTAGCAAATCTTCACAAGATGTGAATTGGACAAAGAATCAAAGGTTAGCTCAAGATTCTTGTGGTTGGTATGAAAGTGTAACCCTTACTGTTCAACTTCTTGATCATTTTGGTAGTCTTTGCCATGAGAAAAGATATCGCATGATTAGTCGCCAGAATGCAAAAAAAAAAAACGCCGAAACAAAGCTACGATTAAAAGAAACGGCTACCGGAACATTTATATATTATAAAAGAAAAGAAAATACCACCTACTTGATTCATTTTAAGTAAGCAAAATCATGTGAAAAATATTAATTCAGACTAGTCAACATGCATTAAATGAAAAAAAAAACTTAAAACTAGTCTTGTTTTATTTACAAATATTTCGATATCATTTATACCAATTAAACTTTAACTTAAAAAACAAAATAACACATGAGAGCATATATTCGAATCTAATATACATGTTTAGACTAAGCAAATTTATATAAAAGCATATTAATGTTATCTATTTTGTATATAAAACACTGAAGTTTCAAATCTATGTTGTTTTTAATTATATATAACTAGTTGCATGTATATTAATTAAATTAATATTTAACTACATAGAAAAATGATAATGCTCAGACACGGGCATCCGTCCATCTAGACGCGGCCTCCCAGGCCTGCCAAGCAGATCGGCCCAACAGGCCTACTCACCTCTACGTCTCCCCCATCTCTCCAATCTCTACTGCACTCGATGCGAAATTTTCCTCACTCGTCTCAGCCATCGCGGGGTCACCGCATCATCCGCCCGCACCCACTCCGCCTCGCCATTGACGGTCCCCTGCCGCGCTGCGCCGCATTCCCCACCGTCCCCACTCTGGCCGTGGCGTTCAGCGCACCACCACCACCCCGACGCCACCAGGACGGAGGAGGTCGTCGCCGGTCAGGACATTGTCTCCCGTGGCCGGACAAAGACACCGCGGCAGGAAGGGAGGCTTGCGTCTATGCCTTAGTTGTACGCTAGGCCGTTGTTCTTACGTCCCCCTAACCCGAGCTTGTTGGTTACCGCAGTTCCCCACCAAGAAGGATGTGGCCGCTGACAACTCAGTGTTTCAGGGGTTTCAAACGTATGTTTCAAGTGTTTCATCTAGATGTCACATATGTTGCATTGGCTATATACGCATGTTGCAAACATATGTTTCAAGTGTTTCAGACATATATTTCAAGTGTTTCATCTGGATGTTGCATATGTTGCAATGGCTACACACATATTGCAAGAGTATGTTTCAACTGTTTCAGACGTATGTTGCAAGTGTTTTATCTGGACGTTGTACAAGTAGATCCAGATGTTGCATATGTTTGCAATGGCTACACACGTATGTTGCAAGTGTATGTTACAATTTTTTCATCTATTCCGAACGTATGTTGCAAATGTTGTATCTAGATATTGCAAAAGTAGATCTAGTGTTGCACATGTTGCAATGGTGCCGATGGCTGGCGAACGGGGCGCGGCGGGACTTGGTGCGTGAAGGGGACCGTGACGCCTAAGAGGGGGGTGAATTAGGCAACTTAAAATTCCAACTCTATACTATGGCCTATTTTCTAACCTTAGCAAAACCCATGCAAAAGATAAACTATCTAAATGTGCAACTATGGTTTTGCTAGTGTGTTGCTATCTCTACCGCAAAATGAGTAATACAAACAATGTAAATGCGGAAGCTAAAGAGTAAGGTAGAGATATGCAAATTTCCGTCGACGACTCCGGTATTTTTATCGAGGTATCAAGAAGCACGCAAGCTTCCCCCTAGTCCTCGTTGGAGCCCCTCGCAAGGGCCAAGCTCTTGGTCGGGTAACTCCGTGGATAGCTCCAGGCCTTCCCCACATGTAAGTGGGTCTCCGGTTAAGCCACTCGTGGAAAAGCCTCTCTCAGACCGCTCCCCGGCGTCTTCACTATCAAGCTTTTGGTTGAAACGCCGCGGGCCTTGTTCCCTCCGGTACACGGTGGCGGCCACACCACAAACGCGGTTGGTGTGATCTCGCAAGACTACAAGCCCCTCCGTTGTACATCAATGGTGCGCGCAAGCACCGAGTGGTAAGAGGTATGCAAACCTCACTAAACACTAGGCCTAAACCTAGAGCAAGCACATAAGCGGTGGTCTAATCAACCTAAGCACTTCGCAAAGCACCTACACTAATCACCTAATGAAACACTAAGCACTATGCATGTGGAGATCACTAAAATGGTGTATCAACACCCTAGATATGTTTCCTCAGCTCCACTCATGTCAAATGGCCGGTTGGGGGGTCTATTTATAAGCCCCATGGAGAAAGTAGCCGTTGGGGGCGAAATCCCGCTTTTCTGCTACTGATCGGATTTTGCTTTTGTCCTGACCGGACGCGTCCGGTCGTACCGACCGTTAGAGCGCGATCAACTAATCGAACGCTGATGGCGTCCGGTCACATGCCACCGGACGCGTTCGGTGGCAATTTCGCCGCTCTGGAACCTTTCTGTACTCGATCGAACGCTACAGTCCCTGGGTCCGGTCAATTTGTCGCCAGCGTCCGGTCAGTGCTGAATCTGTTGCTGGGATGATGAACAGTGCCATCGGTGCATCCGGTCACTTTCAGTCTTCAACGTCCGGTCGCTGCTGCTGACGCCTTCTGTTGCTGAGCAACTGATCGGAGCGTCCGGTCGCTATAAGGACTGCGTCTGGTGCTGCGTTCGGTCACTTCTATGAGCTCGTTTCTTCATGATTTTGCATCTGGCTTGGTTTCTATCTTCGTGCTTAGACTTTGCTTGATATCTTGAGTCTTCTCTTGTGCTTCTAGTGTCTTTCTTATGGTGTTGATCATCGGATCATCACGTCACCTTCGTCCAAGTCACGTCTTGCACCCTATTGATCTACAAAACAATCACTTACAAATTAATTAGTCCAATTTGGTTGTGTTGGTCATCAAACACCAAAATCCAAAGTAAATGGGCCTAGGGTCCATTTTCCTTACAGTGCGGACCTCGACAGAGGAGCAGCCGTCTACAGACACGAAGAAGGCAGCACGACACAACGTCCTGCCGCAGTCGCCTACTGCTGTTGCTGGGGCACCACCATGGGTCGCCATGAGGGCGCCTGAGGCCGGTAGACGCATCCGCGGCGCGCATCCAGAGACGGGGCAAATGACTGGGACCCACATGATTTCCCACGTGCAGGTGCGGCGGT